CTGTAATACCAAGGACAGGTTGGGAACTGCTACTAAAAGAATTTCAGGTGGCCACACATGGTGGCACACACCTGTAATTCTAGTACTTTGGGAAGCCAAGGCAGGTGGATCACTTGAGCCCAACCATTCATAACCAGCATGGGCAGCTTGGCAAAACCCCACCACTACAAAAAATACAAAAATTAGCTGGGAATGATTACAGCCACCTGCAGATGCAGTTACTCAGGAGGCTGAGGTGGGAGGATCACCTGAGCCCAGGAGCCCAGAAGTCTAGGCGGTGATTGGACCTGGGCGACACAGTGAGAACCTGTCTCAAAAAAAAAAAAAAAAAAAAAAAATTGGTTGCAGAGTTGGCCAAATTATTCCAACATACATGTAAAAATCATTTTAGGCCAGGCGCAGTGGCTCACGCCTATAATCCCAGCACTTTGGGAGACCGAGGCGGGTGGATCACAAGGTCAAGAGATCGAGACCATCCTCAACTAGGTGAAACCTCGTCTCTACTAAAAATACAAAAATTAGTTGGGCATGGTGGTGCGCTCTTGTAGTCCCAGCTACTCAGGAGGCTGAGGCAGAACTACTTGAACCCAGAAGGCGGAGGTTGCGGTGAGCCGAGATCGTGCCATTGCACTCCAGTCTGGGTAACAGTGAAACTTGGTCTCAAAAAAAAAAAAAAATCATTTTAAAATCTGTCTTGGGAGCCTAATTTTTAAAAAAATCCATACACATAAAATGCAATTGATATATGTTCCATTAAATATCAAGAATCAGCTTGACAGGATTTACTCCAGATTAAACTAACCAATAGGTACGCAATCCTATAACAAAGTTCATCACAGTGGTGCATTAGGAAGAGCAACAGACCAAGAAACTTCAGTCCCTGACCCATCCAAAGTGATGATGTATAAGGTCACTTTAATTACCTATACCTCAGTTTCCTGAGCCAGAAAAATAAAAGTGTAAGACTAGATTAACTCTGAATAGCTTTACAGCTCTTCCAGAGCTAATATTTATGATTCTTCAATTTAAAATCTATGGAATATCTACTTCGTATACAGATGGCACCATAGGTGAAAGACATGATTATATATACAAAGTTTGCATCCTCAAAAGTTTTATAATTGGAAGATAAAACATTCAAACAGCAATTCAACTCAGACAAAATGTGGGCAAAGCTCTGTTATTGGAAAATACTATCCTTCTTCCCCTTCCATCCCCTAGTCCCCCAAATAGAGTCAGATGCTTTCTTATCTAATATAAGACATGTAAAATCCTCCTAAAATCTGTCTTGGGAATCTCTTAATTATAAATTTCTAAAATTCCATCAATATATACAGGCATTATCTAATATAGGGAAGAAAAATTCTCATTTGAAATTCTAGTGTTTTCTTGTAGTATATCGTCTTACTTTCCCCTGTTAATATTTAGAAATGAGAAATATCTGTAATTGGTGATAGAGTACTGAAAATAAGCAGAACCAAAAAACATATCAACAGGTCAAGAAGCATATATAAATTTTATCTATCCATTAGTATTTAAGGATTACTTGGCAGAGAAAATGAGTTTACATCTAATTTGATGAAAGACTATGATGCTATAATAAAATAAACATTTGAAGTATTTAATTTGGCATTTTAAACAAATGAATGGGAATGTTAATGGGTCAATACACTTTTTGTACTAACTTGATGCTATGGAAATTATTGTACCAAATTATCCAAATTTAGAACTGTCACTGTTTAATAATAGGTACAATCAAGTTAAGAAAAACACTTAAAGTGTTGCAGAATTAGGAAAGTTTAAATAAAAGGCATTTTTAGAGTGCCACAAGTTTTTCTTATGTGAAAATCACTTTCAAAAATATAGCAGGGGTTGTTTCAGTGATTAAATCAATACAGGTAAAGCACACACAACAGTGCTTGGCACATGGCAACTGCTCACCGGGCATTGGTTAGCATTAACTCTAAACTAAATCTAAACTGTCCTACGCAAAAGGTCATGACAAAGTATTTGCTGTCAGATGATTCAAGACTATCTTTGCAGGAGAAGGTATGCTGTGTGACCAGGATTTAAAATACTGATGCACATGCTGACACCTGGAGTAACACAAATCTTCTAACAAAAATTGTGTGCATTAATGCATATTAACTTCAAAGTAAAACTGCAAGTCAGATTACAAGACTGATTTGCTCAAAACATCGAAACGGTTTTTCAGTTTACATTTTGTTGCTCAAATCTAAGATAGCTTTAAATTTCTTTTTAACACTTCAAAAACCTAATCACACTATAAAAACAAGCTCCTATCAAATCACGCTAAATATCCAATTAACAAGTTGTTAAGAGTAAATTGCCTTATCTTCCCAAGGACAAATTCTAGAACCAAAAGATAAAACAACAAAAGAAAGTATAGCTATCTTTTCACAGAAATACACCAAGTTTAAGTAAAGGCTAAACTTCCACAAAATCAATTTGTAAAACAGGTTCCTCATTTTTAAAAAACCCAGATAGCTGGAAATTTCCACTGTATTTTTATAAGAAAATTTATCATATGTTTAAATCAAAAGCTACAGTTTTTAAAAAAATCTAAAGTCTTTACTTTCCACAAGACTGTATGCTAAGTACATTTGTTCCCTAGTAAGTTTCAACACGTTTAGATTTCCAGTGACTCTGAAAACAAACCCCTTCTAATGACAGCAATTTTCTGAATGAAATTTAAGTATTAAGTTTTTAATTAAACCAGCAAACGGTTCACACTCCAGTATTTGTTAAATATAATCTTATGTAAAATATTTTACATCTGTAAAATTATACTCTTTAAAAGTCCAAAGCAGAAACTTAAAGTACTCTGAGATATACAACTCAGAGTCAATGTCAAGATTATTAAGCCAAAAATTAATTTTAAATTGGAAAATAATTCACTCGAGTAACAGTTATGGAAAGGAAGCCAAATGAATACAAATAATTTCATAATTTTTGGAGGATTACTTTGGACTATTTTTTTAAATGCTGTAAGAAAACATGCTGCAAATCCACAATACAAACACACCTGAAAACTAAAGCCCTACATTCATCGAAATTTCAGCGTTGTCTCATTCATGTTACTACATGCCCTCCCTCACTTTAAAATTGGAAACTCAAGCCAATCAAAGATATTGGGATCAACCCCGGAAAGGAAAACAAAAAGATCAAGTACCATCTCCCTGGTAAACTTTCAAGTACAATCTCCTTGGTAAATTTTCCAAATCAAGATAATATACTGGCAAAAGGAAAAAAATTACAGTCCTGATAAATATCTTGCATGTAATCGTGCGTTAACTTTCATAAACTTTGGGAAACTAGTTATTTAGTAATACATTGCTATTTTAATTATAAAACATTTTCGTATTTTAGACAACCACCTCCTGGAATGTTTGTATTCGTCTATACACATTTTGCAAGTGATACTCAAGTTCTGAAAACTAATCTTCATTTCCTACACCATCTTTATTAGACTCTTACACCTTTGGCTTTCCTAAGTAAATATATAACCTAAGCCAATGAGTTTCTACCAAAGACAAAACCCAGTGGTTGGCTAGTGATTTATAGTTGTACTAAAAGCTGTAATATGACCATGCTTTACCAAATATGGAACCCATGTCTAAACTGTTGACTTCAGACAACTGCCAATGTATTAACCACAAAAAGTCACTGTTGTATATCTTTAGCCTCAAGAACTAAAAATGAAGTCTGACCATTTTAATGGAGCTAGAAATTAATCAGTGTAGAAACATAGGTTTCACTGTTGACTTTCTATTTGGAAACTTCATCAATTGCAAACTACCAGGCTTTCAACCAAAATGCCACATTGGTGAAATGAGTTGGTTTTATTTTCATAACAACATTATTTTGATGGAAGAAATGTGAGCATCCCAGCTTTGACTCATGGGTAAGCATTTCCCTCTGCTTTCAGAACGTAAACAGTAAATACCGGCATTGGAAAAACCTGGCCCCAACGAGCTTCTCTATCTCTAGGCTAACTGAAAATTCCCGGGAAATCCCAAACAAGGGATGACCCTGCCTCGGCGTCAGGGTCAACACAGCAACCAGCTAGGCTTCAACTTTGGGTTCTAAAGGGCCCCACCGGCATCATGGCTGATGCGGACCGATGCGCAAGAGGAGGTGGACAAGGAAGAGGCTGGTTTGTTTACTTGCAGCCACAGCCGCCGCCGCCGCCAGCAGCGACAGCATCACTGGATCAGCCAAACCCAGCATCTTCCGCACATTTCTATTCTTAGAACACAACTCCCAAGCGGATCAAAACCCCACTACTATTAAAAACACAGACAAGCACGTTACCCACCTCCCACACACACCCCCACCCCACCAGTGCCGTCTTTTCCTGCGCGCCGGTGGCGGAGAAGGGTGGGGGAAGGAAGGAGACCCCGGGGACGCCTGTGCATCCTCGCCTTCACCCCACCCCACGCGCAGACAGCCTCAGTGCCAGGGCGCGCAGCAGACGGCTCCCTCCCCCCAACCCAAACACATTGACACCGGCGTTCCACGCGTTATATAACCTCGCCGCCGTCCCCGGTCCAGGCGGGCGCCCCCTCCCCACGCCGCGCAGCCCGGGCGGGGAGGGGCGAGGGGAAAGAGCGAGAGTTGCGCAGAGAGAGGAGGCGGCGGGCCGGGGCAGCCCAGACACAGACAGTACCGCTAGGCCAGGAACACCCCTCCCCCGGCCCGCTGCGCACCGCCGCCCCCCAGCTTCCCCCGGAAAGCGGGGGGTGTCGGTGTCAACCGCGCTGGGCATCCCCCGGCCTCCACACCCACACCCGAAGCCTCCGGTGACCCAGCCCCCGCCCACGCCCCCGGCGCTGGGACAACCCAGAAGCCCCCGCCTCACCCCACCCCGCCGCCACCCCCCGCCCGAAGGTGGCAGGGAGGGCGCACCCGGGCCGGGGACCTGGAGGGAGTGGAGGCCAGGCGGGGAGGGGACGAGAGTGGGGGGCGGTGGCTGTTACCTGCAAAGGCGGCGGCGGCGGCCCCGCAGCTGCTCGGGCGGCGGCGGAGGATGGAGCCGGGGGGGCGGGGGGAGGAGAGGGGGCGACTCGGGGGTCCCCCCTCCCTCCTCCTCCCCTCCTGTCCTCCCCCCACCCCACAGAGCCTCTGGTCTCCTGGAGCCCGGTGCGGCCGGCGGGAGGGCAAGCGAAGGGCTGCAGGGGAGGGAGGGAGGGAGCCGGCCGGGCCGGGCCGCGGAGCTGGAGCGGGAGGCGGCGGCGGCGGCGGCGGGAGGGGGAGGGAGGAGAGAGGGCGGCGGCGGGGAGAGGAGGAGGCGGAGACTCTACTTGGGAATCGGATATCGGCTACAAATTCATCACCAGAAAACACCGCTCGGGCGGGGGCCGGGTCACGCCGGAGGGGCGGCGGCTCTAGGCCCCCGGGCGCGCCCGGAGCGGGGTGGGGGTCTGCGGCCTCCTCCTGGGCTGCGCCTCGCCGAGGGGACCCTCGCCGCCTCCCCGCCCCCTCCTTCCTCCCGCTCGGGGCGGCCGCCGATCGGTTCTCGCCGCCGCCGCGGGGCTTGTTGTTGACTTTGAGGAAAACTCCTGACGTCAGGGGCTGGCTCTCGGCGACTGGCGGGAGCGGCTTCCCCGCGTCCCCGGCCCTGCCCGCCGCCTCTGCTCCCCTCCCTGCCCGGCCCTCGTCCTCAGGCTTCCCCGCGCCCCCAAACCCGCGGCGCCCCGCGCCCCCTCTCCTCTCGCGAGAACATCCCCCTAGCCAGCCAGAGCCCGGAGCGGGGGCAGTCGTTCCCGGGCGGGAAGTTCTGGGTTTCCCCCGCGCCCGCGTGGCCCTTGGCGGGCACCCGAGGCCTGGGAACAGAGGCTCCTCGCCCAGCCGCTTTCTCCGCGCACCCACGCACCGGCCCTGGCCGCGGACGCGCGCGCCACGAGGCCCCGGGCGTCTCCTCTGGCCCGCCGCCGCCCTTCGGGGAAAATCGGCCCGGCGTGAGGGCTCGCACCTGGAAGCCCACGAGGTGGGCGGTGCCCAATGAGGAAGGAACCCGAGAGCGCGGAGCCGGCCGGGAGCCGACCCCACCCCTGCGCCTCGGGGAAGAGGGACCCGGGGTCGGTCCGGCGCACGAACCGTTCCTGATTATCCCCGGAGACCACAGCAGACCAAGAACACCTCTCCGAACGGCCTTCCCGCACCGCTAGCTGTAAGCATTCGTCCACACACGGTACACAGCTTGCGGGCGAATCGTAATTCACTCTTAAAATCACACCGTTTTTAGGGATATTCGTTGTCAATGACTTTGGGAAAGCCACGAGGTACTACATTCATTACGAGGAGACCGTTTCTTTCAAGTCCATGACCCCTGAGACCACACTGGGGACACTTTTTTGCAGAATGACCATGTTTTACCATGCTGCACACTTCAGAAAGTTATAAAAGTTTACAAGTTTTGTCGCTTCTGGAAACACTAGGCCAGCATCCCTATTATCCCGCCACGTGGCCCTTGCCTTCTTGATGTACCTTTTATTTTCTCCCATTGCAACGTTTTTGTTAATGCCTGTGGCTTCTTTCTGCGGAGAGTTCCTTCTCCTGACATGCACTTCGTTCTCTGCTTTTCTATGTCCTGACAACTCTCATGGTAGTCATTCTTTTATACTAAAGCACCCCTGGTATTTATATAGTGTGTTGTATTAATATTTACACATCTCAGTTTACATCTTTTCTCAAATGTCCATCTATTGGGATTGTGGACAGGAGTAGGAAACCGGCTAAAAGGGTTTTTGTTTTGTTTTGTTTTTTTTAATTCCGTTTTCTCCAATTTGTAGGGGAAACTTGTTTCCCTGATCACCCTGGAGCGAAATTTTGCCATTTTAAGATAACACAGTCCGTCTGAGATAAAGCCCTCCACTGTGCCTTTCCCCTTTTCCCATATTTCCCAGCAGGCTATGAGCTGATTAGTAAACAGACTTCATCCTATTTCTTTTCATCTATAAAATACACATAATGTATTCCCATAATTATTAGACCTCTCACAGTTACTATTGGCAAAATTACTGGGTTACAGGTTTCTTGCTATAAAACAAAAATGGGTCATATTTTTATTCCATAGTACCCCCAGCTTGCTTTTTAAGAAAATAGTCCCTTATGACACCAGCACTAAAAAGTGTATCTGAAACTTTAAATACTTAACTTTTGAGAATTTGGGTATCTGGAATTATTGAATTGCTAGATACCTCTTATCAGTGAGATGTTCATTTGTTCCCAAATTTAACATCAATATATTTATAAGAACTGAAGGTGTCATGACCCATACTGCCTCAAAATATTTTGCCTAGTCTGGTTAGATTGTATTAAATCTCAGATGGATTAAACCCTAAAATTAAGTATATGAGAATGAATTACATACTCTGGGCTTCAAGTATTTGAAGAATTGCAAATTTTTATTTCTGCTCTATTTTTGTTTATGGACTACAGTAGTTTCATCAATTTCCATAATAGAAGCATGTCTGATTTTATAATAGAATTACTATTAATTATGACTATTACTTATTTAAATAACACTGTTCTTTCTCTCAGACTGTGCCTGTATGAATTTGGCAGTGCTCCATACAGAGTACGTGCTAGACTTTTTTTCCTCTTTGTCATCGCGTCCAATAACATGGGGTGTAGCCAGCATGTTCATCCCTGGGAATGTCCCTCCTAAATTTTGCAAAGAAAGCCTTCAGTCTTTATTACACCAAGTATTCTTAAGTAGTAGTTATTTATACATTTTAAGAAAAATGCATTTCTCAGTAGTAGTTATTTATGCATTTTAAGAAAAACGTTCTTTTTTTTTTTTTTTTTTTTGAGACGGAGTTTCGCGCTTGTTACCCAGGCTGGAGTGCAATGGCGCGATCTCGGCTCACGGCAACCTCCGCCTCCTGGGTTCAGGCAATTCTCCCGCCTCAGCCTCCTGAGTAGCTGGGATTACAGGCACGCGCCACCATGCCCAGCTAATTTTTTGTATTTTTTTAGTAGAGACGGGGTTTCACCATGTTGACCAGGATGGTCTCGATCTCCTGACCTCGTGATCCACCCGCCTCGGCCTCCCAAAATGTTCATTCTTTACTACCAATGTCTAAATTTGATATTGAGCTATTTCTTGGTACTTCCCTCATTTCTTGGGAGTAACTAAAACTGGAAGGATATTTAGAATTTCAGAGCATCTAATGTCTTAGTCCCTTCCGGCTGCTATAACAAAATACCATCAAGTAGGTAGCATATAAAGAACAGGAATTTATTTCTCACAGTTCTGGAGGCTGGGAAGTCCAAGATCAAGACACCGGCAGATTTGGTGTCTAAAGAGGGTTCCGTTTCCTGATTTGTAGATGGTGACTTCTTGCTGTGTCCTCACCTATTAAAAAGAATGAGGGAACTCTGTTGAACCTCTTTTTTTTGGAGACAGGGTCTCATTCTGTTGCCCAGAGTGGAGTGCAGTGGCATGATCATAGCTCACTGTAGCCTGGAACTCCTGGGCTCAAGCAAACCTCCTGCCTCAGCCTTCTGAGTAGCTGAGACCACAAGCATGAGTGAATTGCCTAGCCATCTTGAGCCTCTTTTATAAGGGCACTAATCTCATTCATTCTTGAGGGCTCAAACCCTCATGACTTAATCATCTCTCAAAGGTCCCATCTACTAACACACTTTGAAAGTTAGGATTTCCATCTATGAATTTGGGGAAACACAAAAATGCAGACCAGAGCATCACATAACAAAAATTAAGTTACTGCTCTTCCGTCTTGATAGAAAGGGTGTTTTGTCCTAGGATGGGGCATGGAACAAAGTAGGCACAGAATAAGTGTTTGTGGAAGAAATACATGTTCTAATGTTCTAACAAATGCAGTAATATGTATACTATGTACAGTTTATATAGTATTTTCTTCTTGATGCAAGATACTTATTGGAAAGAACATAAAAGTGCTCTGGAGACTTGCACACCAGAGTTCAAATCCTCTCTCTGCATAATTTGTCTCATCTCAGGCAAGTTGCTTAAGTTTTCTAAGCTTTAATTTTCTCATTTGTGAAATGGCAGTTACAACTATTTCAATAACCTAGGTGAATTAAATTTTATGAAATATTAGTACCCAAAACACAGTGAATGGTCAGCAAGCTAAACTTCCTTTACCATAAATGTGAATATATTTATATTAATCTAATAATAGCTGCTACAAACAAATACGAAAATCCATGTTGGCATTCTCCGCCACAGTTGGTTCGGAAATAACCATGTTAAGTCTACAGCTGTAATTAGTGAATATATCCTAGATGATTAATAGCACAATTTCTAAAAGGGTATAGCTTGAATTTCTGTTGGCTAAACTTCCCAGTCTGTGGTATTTTCTTGTAGCATCCCGAAATGACTAGGCCATACAGTTCATTGCAATAGTTATGGGTACTAATTTTTTTCTCCCTTCCCCTGATGTCTTTCTTTCTTTTTCTTTTTCTTTTTTTTTAATTGAGACGGAGTTTCGCTCTTGTTACCCAGGCTGGAGTGCAATGGCACGATCTCAGCTCACCGCAACCTCCGCCTCCTGGATTCAGGCAATTCTCCTGCCTCAGCCTGCTGAGTAGGTGGGATTACAGGCACGCGCCACCATGCCCAGCTACTTTTTTGTATTTTTAGTAGAGATGGGGTTTCACCATGTTGACCAGGATGGTCTCGATCTCTTGACCTCGTGATCCACCCGCCTCGGCCTCCCAAAGTGCTGGGATTACAGGCATGAGCCACCACGCCTGGCCCTTAGTATATAATTTTAACTTCCTGAGGTGGTATGCATTTCTGGTTGTTTCTGAATCCGCTCTATGGAGATTGAACTTTCCAATGAAACAGCTAGCAGTGAAATAATAATGGTAAATCTCCATCTTTTGCCTGGACAATTACCTCAAGTTATTGTTCTTCCTCAGTTATCCCATGTAAATACAGTACTGTTCCAAAAAGCTTCTCCGTCCATTTTAAAACACAGTTTTTCTACTAGTGAAAATACTTTCACAATTAACTGAAAAGTTTCAAATCTACGTCTCGCTATTTTAACCCACTATGAAGTCCTTCAACTGTTGATTCTGTGCTGTCATTAAATAACATTGGCTTTTCATAGCAGGAGAAAATCAGTCTGAGAATTTTTCTGTTGACTAGACAGACCATTTTAAATGGCAAACACTATCTCAATTCAGTAATTGGATTTGAATCAAAGCTCTGAATTTGATTTAGAATTCAAACTTTTTTTTTTTTTTTTGAGAGTCTCACTGTCGCCAGGCTGGAGTGCAGTGGTGTAACCGGCTCACTGCCACCTCCACCTCCCAGATTCAAGCTTCCCGAGTAGCTGGGACTACAGGTGCACACCACCACACCCAATTAACTTGTGAATTTTTGTAGAGATGGGGCTTCACCATGTTGGCCAGGATGGTCTCAATCTCTTGACCTCATGACTCAGCCTCCCAGTGCTGGGACTACAGGCATGAGCCACCCTGCCTGGCCAGAATTCAAACTTTCTATAGGCAGAAAGCCATAGTGGGGAAAGCAGGCAGGCTCAGTTTCTCAATTTCTCTATCTTATTTTTCTCTTCCACTCCACAAGTCAGTCTGAGTGAAGGACAAAACAGTTCTTACCCAGCTGGTACCATTGTCAACCAGATTTGCATTCTCTCAGCCCAGCACACAGAACCAGCTATATGATTTGCAAGGCCCAGTGCGTAATGAAAA